TTTTATTGAAAATTCACTCCTTCTTCCAAGTCTTTACTGAGTCCATGCTATTTGCTAGGCACGTGGGAGAAATGAGGCTAACTTAGATGCTGATCTTACATTCACCTTGGGACGTGGAGAACGGAGGGTACAGATTTTCTATAAATGTGAGGGCTGGCACTTCTCTGCTTAAATACAGAATGCTGAGCGTTATTCACTTTAGAAATCACTGAGGATCTTGCAAGGGCCTCTCACTGCCTGAGTGAATTATTTAAGAACTAAAAGAGCGGGTAGGGATGCTGTAGATAGATATGTGCTGAACTGGTGTTTACTACCCATCATTATTTATATAATAATACGAATTATGATAGAATTTTACATATACTACTTGTATATTATGCTAGTTATATGTGCATGTATATTACATATGCACATATAATAATAATGATTTATTATTATACTAATTATATAGTGCGAATGGAATACTATATGCTAGGTATTATTATATATGCATATATAATACTAATTGTACATATACACATATAATGCATATCATAGGTTACTCTAATTATATATACATAATTGTTCTAACTATATATACAGTTGTCCCTCGGTACCCACAGGGTGGTAGTGCCCAAGACCACCCCCTTCCCCCCACAGATACCAAAATCCAAGGACGCTCAAGTCCTTGGTGTAGTATTTACATACAACCTATGCACATCCTCCCGTATACTTTAAATCATCTCAAGATCACTTATAATACCTAATACAATGTAAATTCCACATAAATAGTTGCCAGCATGTGGCAAATTAAAGTTTTGCTTTAGGGAACTTTCTGGAATTTTTTTTTTCCTACTTTCGAACCATGGTTGGTTGACTCCACGGATGCAGAATCCATGCATACGGAGGGCCAACTATAATTATAATATATACTACATTTATGTATTATATATCACATATAATGTTCATATATATTACATAATAATTTAAATATGTAAGTAACCCAGTTACTTATATCATTTCATTTTACTACCACATGTATCTTTCTCTTTAAAACGGAAATGGTAAAATTCTGCTTGGGCCAGAGACTAGATATGCTCATTAAACCTATGCTTTATTCCCACTCTGCAAAGCTAAAGAACGTAGAAATCTGCGAAATGACGAGGGGCTTCCCCATTACACCAAACCCCTCTCGTTTCTCACGCATCTGTTCAACAAGGTTTACCAAACATCTGCTCCGTGCCAGACTCTGCCCTCCGCGCTGGGGTCTGGAGCCACGTGCGGCACCGTCTCTGACCCCCTGGAGCTCACAGACGGGTCAGGGAGCAGCCCCCGCAGGCCGTGGTGGCCACTGTCCTGGAGGAAGGTCAATGGTGGCACAACAAGAGGCAAGAGACTCTGCCTGGGATGCTGGGAAAGATTTCTAGAAGACGATATGCCTCAGGGGGAGTGGCTGTGATCTGCAGAAGACACTGGAAGGCCAGGCCATGACAGGAAGGGGAAGGTGTGTGGGAAAACCAGCACTGCTGCAAAATAGCATGAGATGTTCTGGAGAGTAGGCAGTGGACATGCTTCCACTGCTGATATCGCCATAATAATGTGAAGAAAAAAGTAACAGGAGTCCCAGTAGCAATGATAGCAAGTGTTTATTAAACATTCACTATTCTAAGCCCGTGGATGCATAATGTCGTATAATCCCACAACAATCTTCGTGTTCATATAGTATTGTGTATAATGCATATTAAGACAAGTGATCAGAGGAGCTGATACTTTACTCAAGGTCACTCAGCTGGTGAGTACAGCACATCAAGGTCTACCACATCGTACCCTAATGACCTTGGCCCAGGTCCCTAACCTCCGTAAACCTCAGCTCCTTCCTCAGTAAAATAAGGTTGAAGGCTCATTCTGAGAACGCTATGGGACGAGGGTCATGACCAATGTCAGTGATGGCTCACGTCTGTGTGTTAGGGAGTGGATATTGGAAAAGTGGAGGGCAATCATGTTAGTGAGGTAGACTGGGTCAGATCCCAGAGGGCTGGCCTTGTGCCGTCAAGTAAAGGGTGTGCATTTCATTCTGAAGGCCATGACAGGCACTGGGAAGCTTTGAAACACATAATGAAATGCTCAGTGTTGTGTTTGAGAAAAATCACTCTGAAGTGCATGTGGAAACAGCCAGGCTGGTTAGAAAGGTGTTGTCGTAATCCAGGGGAGGAAGTGACAGTCCCAAGAGATGTTGAGTGGAAACAACAAAGGTGCTAATTGGATGTGGGAAGAGGGAGGAAGAGGGGTCCAGGATGACCCCCAGATTCCTGGCTTTAGCGATGAGTGAGTGGTGCAGTTCCATCCACCGAGGCAGCAAATGCAGTGAGAGGAGTGTTATGGGTTGAATTGTGTCCCCCCACCCTCATCCAATTCATAAGTTGAAATCCTAAACCCCAGCACCTCAAAATAGGCCCTTATTTGGAGGTAGGGTCTTCACAGAGGTCAAGTTAAATGAGGTCATGAGGGTGAGCGCTAATCCAATATAACTGGTGTCCTTACAAGAATGGGAAATGTGGACGCAGACTGGCATAGAGGAAAGACCAATGCAAAGAGACCTAGGGAGAACACCACCACCTACAAGCCAGGGAGGGATGCCTGGATCAGATCCCTCCCTCACAGCCATTAGAAGGAGCCAACCCTGCTGATACCTTGATTTCAGACCTCTAGCCTCCAGAACTGTGAAACAATAAAGTTCTGGTTTTTAAGCTGCCCAGTTTGCGGTACTTTGTTCTGGCAGCCCTAGCAAGCTAATATGAGGAGTAACTCACTTGGAGATAGCCATGAGTTACGTTTTGGATGAGTTGAATTTGATGTGTGGTTTCTGGAGAGCCAGGTGAAGACAGATGCCAAAATGGTACTTCAGTACACAAGTCTGAGACTCGGTGGGACTAGAGATAGAGATTAAGATGTATCAGGCATCTCTGCTGCTCCAGCATCTACAGCACAGTGTGATGAGGTAGCACATAGTAGGAATTTGAATTACATAATAATTTAAATATGTAAGTAACCCAGTTACTTATATCATTTAAGTAAGGAGTTGAAAAGTAGTTGAGTGGATAAACGTCAGGTTTGCTTAAGGACAGAGGAGGGGCCACATGGCTATGAGGACCAGTTCTAAGCTCCCACGCCAGAACTAACAAGGTTAGCTCAAGCCCTGTCGAATTTCTGAGGATCGTCATGGTGGTTGATGATATTTACACTCACTAGGAAGGAGAGTCCCTTTTTTTGTTCTTCAAAATCAGGGGATAAAAAATTTAACCAAATACCAAAGCTCTTCTTAGAACAGAGAACTATAGCCTGTCTGGAGTCTCAGGTTCACGCCCATGTTCTGAAATATTGACCTCCAAGTGAGTGTGTCAGTAATGTGTCTATTTTAGGCAGCAACTTAAAAGTCTGCTTAGCTTTAAATGCCAAAATAAGTAGACAGTACGCATGGCATAATAGAAAACAGCAGTAGCTGGAAGTCAGGAGACCTTGCTTTGAATCTCAGGTCTGCCTCTGAAGAATTGGGTTACCTTAACCTTTCAGAGTCCCCTCTCCCTGGTCTATAAAACAATAAGGAGGGGGTAATTGGATGATCTTGCAACTCTGACATTCTCTGATTCTCTCAATATTGCCTCTAATAGCAAATGTTGGGAAAAATCACGTTTCCACAAATTGACCTTCCAACCTGATTGAGTCTGCCAACATGAAGACACGTAAATAAAGTGAGAGGCTGTAATTCATATCACAGATGCCTCTGGTAGAATAATTTCCCTCCTTAATAATTTCTGCCTTCTTAAGATGGTAGATGGAACACTGCAGAGAGACAGTACCTGGTTTTAGGATGCATCTGAATTAGCAGCAAACTGGGTTTTACTGGAAGGTTTCTGAATGCACACGATCACAGTATTTTGTCCAATGACTTAAACTTCTAACGATATTGAAAAAGGATATGGGAAGATTAACCATTCCTAACTACATCTGTGATTTCTCTTGGACCATTCGAGGTTTAAACCTCACGCAATGGCATTTTCTTTGTACACCTGGACATCTCAGCCCTGGGTGTAATAAGCCAATAAGGGGTACAGATGATTAAGATTGACTACCTATTAAGTGTCGTGTTTTGTGCCAGGTGCTGGACCTATGTTACTTGTTGCCTCATTTAACGCCCCCTGTAGCAGATGCTGTCAGCCACACCATACCTCTTCTGCACTCAACGTGCTGAAGGTTGCTTACTTAGGGCTCCTGACTGGCTGTGGAAGCACGTTTGGCCTCTGAGGACAAAGACGTGCCTAAGAGTCACTGCTGCAGAAGCAACCCTCAACCGGTATCAGACAGAAATTTGGTGGATAAATACTCCAGCGTCCTCACCACTTGGTTTGGATAAGTCCGGGCGTATTCCACACTTGCTCATGGAGTTCCTCAGAGGGACTGAGCTCCAGTTAGCGTGGCGGATACTGACTTGATAAACACACCCTTTATTGGCTGCCTTCTACCCTGGTATTTCCTATTCCAGATAAAGGACTTACTCTCAAATCCTTGCCTCAGAATCTGCTTCTGGGAAATCCAAACTAAGACATCCTCCAAGATCCTAGGGAGCAGGTAGTATTAGTGCTACTCTATAAATGGAGAGCCTGAGGGTCGATATGGTTAAGTAACAGTTGTTATGTCTTGGTACTGGGGTTTTGCTGGCTCACCTTCCTCTGCACCAGTGGTTCTCAACCAAGGGAAATTTCGTCCCCAGGGGACATTTTGAAATGTCTGGAGACATTGCTGGCTGTCACAACTGGGGGCTTGCTGCTGGTACCTAGTAGGTAGAGGCCAGGGATGCTGCTAAACATCTCACAATGCACAGTTCAAGCCCCCCGCAACAAAGGCTAATCCAGCCCAAAAAGGTCAGCAGCGGCAAGGCTGAGAAATCCTGCTCTCCACCCAGTGGGACTAGCTGCTGGATGGTAGCTCTCTTGTGTGACTTGTCCGTTGTATTTCACTCCCAGGGCCAAGCTGTGGCTCAGCTGTGCTCCACTGTCCCCAACGTGACTGTCTTTGGAACAGCTTCTACTTTCAAGCATGAAGCCATCAAAGACTCCGTGACTCATCTCTTTGACAGAAACGCAGACTACGTGCAGGAAGTGAAAAGGTAAGATGTTTGCTATAAAGAGCACCAGGATGGTCCCTGCACTTCTCTCTTAAGGAACAGGAGCGTTCATTTAGAGGAGGGCTGATAACAATCATAACTGTAAACATATATATTACTAGTCCTGTGCTACTTCACATGTATTCACTCATCTAATCCTCTCAACAAGCTTATTATTATCCCCATTTTGGAGACGATAAACCTGAGGAACAGAGCAGTCAAGTTACAAAGCTAAATTGTGAGAGCTCCTATAACACTACCGTAACACAGAGAAGTTTACTTCTCATTCATTCATGTAACAGCCCCAGGGAGTGTGGACTCCAACCTGGGTGTGACTGAGAGCCACCAAAGGACCAAGGTGGTGACATGATCAGATTTGGGTTTGGAAGAGTCACTGGTGCGTCATAGAGAATGAATGGGAGGGGCCATCCATCTGCTGGCTGTTGTGGTCTCCCCAGGGGAGACGTTGCTTTATAACATGATCCATGTTCCACCTATGATCCTTACGGCCCTGTGCATGTCAACACAGGAAATCAGATGGAACACCCAGCTGCCGCCATGCTTTCAGGTGATGTGTGTGTCTCACCCCTGCTGATTCCCAGGCTCTGCTCCACTCACAGCTCCTGGGGGGATTCAGAGATGTCCCAGAGCCACTGGTTCTGTATTTTCATTCTCCAGCACAAAATCAGAAGGTACAAAGGAATTAAGTTGTCCGGCTAGCACAGCATCATAACAAAGAAACAATTTCCTCCAAATCACTGATTAAGATGAAAAATTGAAGGGTTGGAGGATGGGAGATCTGGTTGTTTGAAGTGATAGATTTAGACCGGATTAGGTGAAACTTGGGAAGTTTTTCGGAAAGGAGAGTCTTCTGACAGTCTGAATTCTCAAATTTAAAAAAAAATGTTGAGTGTCAAGATTTGCGTGTCATTTAAGGTTGCCCCAGTATTTCCCATGTGATGTGAAAAGAAAGCTTTAAAGCTAGATATTGGAAATTTACCACCCGTTTCTCAGATGTCCAGAGATTGCAGGCATTTTTTTTTTAAGTATAGTTGATTTACAATAGTGTGTTAGTTTCAGGTGTATGTATGTTATACATACATATATATATACATATATATTTCAGATTATTTTCCATTATAAGTTATTACAAGATATTGAATAGAGTTCCCTGTGCTATACAGTAAATCCTTGTTGCTTATCTATTTTATGTACAGTAGTTTGTAAAGACTTCCAGAATATATCTTTGCCTACTTTTATAAACTTCCTTCCTTTAACTTGCATCTTTCAAGCTGTGGTCTGGAAAATGAACTACCACTTTCCCTTCAGCCACCTTTCCTTTCACCCTCTTAAGAGATATTTCTTCAAGCATCCTTTCCTCTGTTCCTGCACTGACCTGCTTAATAAATACTGAGTACCTAGCAGGTACTCTGCTAGGGCAGGAGATCCAGCAGAAACCACCTTGAGGATCACTGTCTGCATGGAGCCTGGAGCCTCGTTGGGAAGAAGGGACAAGAGATATTTTAAAAATTCATTGATTGCTACTTCTGATATGTGCTTTGGTGGAGAAATGCAAGGTGCTAGTGAAATAAACATAGGCAAGTGGGGAAATCAGACATGTCGTCCATCAGCAAGTGAGATTTGGGCTGAGAACTGAGGGCTGAGAATTTGGCCAAAGGAAGAGCATTTCTGACCAAGGAGAATGGCATGTGCTAAGGCCCAGGGTCAGGAAAGACTTGGTCAATTCAAGAATGTGAAAGGAGACTAGTGCAGCTGGAGGCTGTGGTCAGAGGATGTGTGCGGTAGTGGAGAGGAGGGTCGGGAGGTGGCGGCTCTTCTGAAGAAAGGACAGAGGCCATAAGCAGGGAGCCTCTGCTGTCCCCATGTCCCAGGTAGCTCCACCATCCCCCATCCCCTCAGTGTCCTTGACCTGCTGCCTTTAGCTCCAGATTCAGTGACTTCTTCTGATGTCGGAAGAGCAGAAGCATCTGAGACCCACCTGCCCACCACCTTCCTGCACACGTGACCTCCAACAGTTCCTTCCTTACATTTTTAAGTAGAGATTCTGGGATTAGCCTAAAAATGACTGGGAAGCTGCAAATACGTTTGTACTCTCTGTCCCACGAATCCTACGCTCAGGATATAATCCGAAAGAAAATAAAAGTCACGGGTCCACCCTGCTTGCTGCAGACCCAAGCACTGCTCCTGCTTCATTGTTAGGTGCTCAGGACATGACGACAGGGTGAATTACAGCATTGTCTGTAAAAGCGAAAATTCAGAACCAGCCCCCACTATCAACAGAAGGGAAACGGTTTGGTAGATTACACTACACCCACACACTTGAGTATTATGCAGCCCCTTAAAAAATGGTAATTATGGAGACTCTGTCAGAAAATGAAAAAAATACCTGTGGTAGCATATTGAGTGGAAAAAAAGCAGAATGCCAAATTCCAGCTACACTGTGATCACAGCTTTGTATAAATTCTTGGCGCGTGAGGGCATAAAATGAAGGGGGAAAAAAATCCACCCACTGAGATGCAATAGGAGTGGAATGCTGAGTGATTTGTCTTCCTTTTCTGATCATGGATATTGTTTGTTACACTGTGTAACACACTGTGTAACACAACACACTGTGTTGTGTGTAATCAACTAGAAAAAATAATAACATAAAATTTCTTGGGATGAAAATTCTTTTATCAACCAGTCACTCAGTAAGCTTCTTTTGAATATGTTTGCATCCTAGAGCCAGGCATTATAAAGGGAATAGGGGAAAAAAAATATATAATACAGACATAACCTTTATGTCACTTCCCCCTTCTCTGTTCCGGAGGAGAGAGAAGAGGATGTTTGAAACCAAGTGGAAGAGTTAGAAGCCTTCAATTGTGTGCATCTGACTGTAAGGGCTTTAAAAATAAAGAGGGGGGCTTCCCTGGTGGTGCAGTGGCTGAGAGTCTGCCTGCCAATACAGGGGACACGGGTTCGTGCCACCGTCTGGGAGGATCCCACATGCCGCGGAGCGGCTGGGCCCGTGAGCCATGGCCGCTGAGCCTGTGCGTCTGGAGCCTGCACGTCCGGAGCCTGTGCTCCGCAACGGGAGAGGCCACAACAGTGAGAGGCCCATGTACCGCAAAAAAATAAAAATAAAATAAAAAAAAATAAATAAAATAAAAATAAAGAGGGAAGAAAGACCAGAGAGCACGCCAAGGTGGACAGCCCCAAGGAGGTGCTTGAAGAGTGGGAACTCTTTTAGTCAGTACAGAGAGGTAGGGAGCGAGTCCCAGGCAAGGCGAGGGGGGCACCAGGCTTTGTCTGTCTCCTCCCACTCTGCTGAGCATTTCAGTGAGATCATTGTAGGTGCATCCTGAAAGATGAAAATTCCTTATCTTATATAAAGAAACTGAGACCTAGTGGAAATTAACAAGAGTCTAGCCACCAGGAGAGAACAGAGAGAAAGCGATCAAGAAAGGATTCCTAGAAGTGGTACTACGTGCACGTGGGAACCGTCAATAGTAAACTTTTACTAAGCAGCCTACTGTGCGCCAGGCACAGTGCTGGGCACTCTGACATCACCTCATCCCTCTGTCATGAGCTTGGAGGTGATGGTTAAAGCTAAGGCAGAGATGAGTTCTCAGAGAAAGGGAAGTCTGAACGAGAAGAATTGTGTGGAGTGCCAAGGACCCAACTGGAAATGAAAGTTACAGTAAAGGGGAATTAATTTCTCGACAAAGTTGAAGGGCTGCTTACCCAGTAATGGCTCTATTGCAACTACCACCACTCAACAGAAATTCTCCACTGATCCGAGTGGACGGGAAGCAAAGAGGCAGTATTCTCAATAAAGGAGCGAGGGGTTGGGGACCAAGGAAGGACAGATAGGAAAGTCTCGGATCAGCAATCCCAAAATATCTTGATGCTGAATTTGGCCCAGAGAATCTCTGAGCTGCGGCTATTTCTGTTTGCTGTTTAAGTCTCCAGAGATTTATGACAGAGGGAGAAAGCAGAATAGGAGCTGTTGCCTTTAACCCTCTGCCCTTACCCTCTCTGCTTTTATGTAATTAAGACTACACAAATGCAGGCAAGGCAGACACTCCCAGAAATTGGGGAGCGGGGGTGAGCTAAGAAATGAGGATGTCCTCTGTGCCTCTGATGGGCTACCTGCTCTGCTTGTGATATTCATGATTATTCCATTAAAAGATGCTGCTAAGGGGCTTCCCTGGTGGCGCAGTGGTTGAGAGTCCGCCTGCCGATGCAGGGTATACGGGTGAGCAATGTGCTAAGACAAGGTAACCCTGCAAAGGCACAAGTCTGAGGAAGGGCCATTCTTGTCTGAGCAGAGCACGGCCCAGCCAGAGCTGGGAACTCTGTAGGCAGGAATATATTGCCTACAACCCCCAGAGCCTTCAGGTTCTACTGCCCCTCCTGCATAATCTCTTTTAACCCAAGAAGCCCAGTAGATGTTTGTTAAGTGCATGAGCGAGTGAATTAATAAATGTATAAATAAATGAATGGAAGAAGGGGTCTTCTTCCTAATAGAGTACAAATGTGGATTCCCTGTGGAGCCCTCCATCACTGTAGGATTTATTTAACCCTTTTCCTCTAGGAGCATGTTTATAGGTTGAACCTGGAGATTGGACAATAGAAGTTTGCAAGTTAAATTAACGTGCCTTTATAGCTTCACTGAGAAGGGAGGTGGAGAGGGAAGAAAGCCAATCCTTGGTAGACCGGAAGCCCCATGAAGACAGGGAGCTTGCTGGTTTTCACTATTCAGCACCGTGGACAGAGCCTGGCACGCACCTCAATTTCCACAAATATGAGTTGTTGATTGACTTACAGAGCAACTATTATGTGGCTGGCAATGGGCCAAGCACCACATCTGCCACCTCACTTCATTCTTAGCACAAAGAAACATGCTAGCTCCACTTTATTTTATTTTTTTTAACTTTTAGAAAATATTTATTTAATTTATTTATTTTTATTATTTTTTGGTTGCTCCAGGTCTTAGTTGCAGCACATGCTGGATCTTCGTTGCAGCATGCGGGATCCTTAGTTGTGGCATGCAGACTTCTTAGTTGCTGCATGAGGACTTCTTAGTTGTCACAGGCATGTGGGATCTAGTTCCCTTACCAGGGATCGAACCCGGGCCCCCTGCATCGGGAGTGCGGAGCCTTACCTACTGGACCACCAGGGAAGTCCCGCTAGCTCCACTTTACAAAGGAGAAAGCTGAGGCTCAGAGAAGTTGAACAAGGCGATCAGACTGACTGTGATGTTCTCTGCTGGCACCACCAGCCAGGTTCTTAGCTGTCTGCGGCTTTGTGAAATTCTCACAGTTGGGCTCAGGAGGATACATCCACCTCCCGGGCTTCTGCCCTATTTATTTCTACTCCCAGAGCTCTCTCTGTTCCTGATTCTGGCAGTAAACAGTATGACAGAGGAAGGAAAAGGGGTTGACAGTTTGGTCTCTGACAGGTTACACTATTTTACTTTGTCTTCTCACCATTTAGAATCTCTGCTGAAGGAGTGGACATTGTTTTGGATTGCCTCTGTGGGGACAACACTGGAAAAGGTCTCAGCCTTCTCAAACCACTGGGAACCTACATTTTATATGGTGAGCGCTAAACAGAAGCAGGGGACATGGTCGGCGACAGGCAGCACCGCAACGCACGTGTGCTTACAAGGGGCTCTGAAAAATGAGATGTGTTGATATGCTGGCGTAATGAGATGGGGATGGTGTTAATATTTTCTATAGTATTGCTACTGTTCTCAATTATAAAAGTGCCTACTGCCCTATTATCCCATGAGCATTTCTCATTCTAAAAGAAATAAAGCAAGGCCAAGCCAAGGTAGTGACAAGATGGGACTCGACCCACAGAAGGTGGCACATGTGGAAAATACTAATAGCTTCAAAGGAAGTTACAAAAATGAAGCAATAAAACACCCATAAGAGGATGGAGAAGAGTAGCTAGGATGTGGTGGTTTTAAAAGGGAGGATCTTCACTATTGGAGATGAAGTTGCAAGGTGCAGAATCTCCTTCCTCTAAACTACTCCTGTATGTCCCAATCAAGACAGAAGCCCTGGATGGATAGAGCCCATGTCTGCCTCTAATTCACTTATATGCTCTTGGGTTTGGGAGGATTCATGAGAGACATCTGGGAGCGGGTTTTCTCCAGCAGAATGAGACCCCAGAGACTCCTCTCCCCCCTCTTCTTCTCTTTGTCATAGGCAGGTAAAACAATTTAAACATTAGTCTCTGCAAAGAAAAAAGCGTATGTGAAGCCAGATGTCACATCCCAAAGCCAAACGATCTTGGAGCTCTCCAATGCTTGAGATTTTTGGCACTCTGTCCCACGGAAGTAGAGTAGAAAATTGAGCCTTAGTTCTGCATAACTCAGAAAAAAATACTCATTTCCCTACTATTAGCTGAGAATCTTATAAAACAGATATCTGAGAGGTATAAGTAGTCAAGCATCATTTTGTCATCATCAGATCACTGTGACAGAGAAGGAAGAAACTTTCATTGCTGGAGTGTTCTGGCATTATGAGTAGTGGCCATGTATTTGAAAGTCTTTAGCGGTGGATGCAGTTTTTAAATTATTACTATTGATAAGAGAAGCTATAAATGTCAGTGTAGGGATATTGGCTATGACTAACACGTGAGTCAAATACAGATGAGCATTTTACCCATCCTTATTCATTTACTGGTTCTATTTTTGCCCCAGTTCCATGACGTCATTTTGGTGTACACAACTTGATCATATCACGAGTATCTTATTACATCAATTACTTGACTACTAAGTAATCAAAACCTAGTGCTGTGAAGCTTGCACCCTGTAAAAGTCACCCCATAAAAGGAGAAGCAGTGACTAACTGGCTACTAGTTTACCAAGGCCAAAGAACTAAGTTTAAGACATACATTGTTTTTTCATTTAACGGTTCTCTGAGAGGAACTTACTCCCAAATCTGTGGGGGGAAGGCAGAAAAGTCGCTGAAAAGGCACCACCAGGGTATAGTATCTCTTAACCCTCACCCAACCCAGAACCGCAGAAAGGGGTTTTTCCTTTCTGTAAGAGCATGTTAGGGAATCTTTCCTAACTCGACTTCCTGTCTTAACTCTGAATATTGCTTGTTCCCATCAGCAAGGCTCCGTTTCCCACACCATTGGTCTCAAGTGGTTTTCACCTTTCTGCCCAGACCTCTTTGGAGCTTACACGTGGGTCACACCATTTCCTTGGCTTGTGAACCTATTTTCACCCTCATCTGCTCCTCTGGACCCCACCTTTCCATCCATCTAAATTCTAATTCAGCCCTGTCTCTCTCCACTACTTAAATGCCCAGCCAAAGTCAGGTCCCCAAGCCCCTCACTTGCCGAGGAATCCAATTCATGCCATGAAGTAATCTCACAAAGGAGTTCATTTCTCGGTCTCAGAGAATGGCACCAACAAGACATTTCGGCAACTCATCATTTTATTAGAATGGTGGCTTAAATCACATTTTTGCCACGTGACCTATTGTCCAACGTTATGAAGTAGTCACCTTGAGAAATGTTACTTCCTCTCTGATCCAGTGATACTTAGTTAAAATTAAGTCAACTCGACACCAACCACCCCCTCCAATTCCCTTATTTTTCCAAGGCTGACCTAAATTTCCTTTCAAGTTCTTGACAGTTCTGGGCCAGACAACTGCCATTCTTCCACGCAAAGCAAGAGATGCTGATTTTCGTTAGCTTGATTTGGGAATCTTCCACTTGCAGGTTCATCCAACATGGTGACTGGAGAGACCAAGAGCTTCTTTAGCTTTGCAAAATCAGTAAGTATCCGTGCACGTCCAAAGTACGCTGGTGGTGTGGTGCTTGGCATGTTGTAAGCTCTTCCATCTAAGGACATAGACCGAATAGCCTAAATCTTGTTTGTCCTTCATCTGCATCATTCATTTGCAAGAAAGCCTGCATTCTCAACCTGCTCACCACACATGGACAGGACTGTGACTTGGGCCACTTTTGTCCAAATGAAGCAGAGAAATGAGAGTGCCCGAGAAACTCCAGAAAACTGTATTTTGATTTCAACAGAGATTGTTTAAGTGTTGGTATTTTTAATCACTGGTCAAGAATAAACTTAGCATTCGTGCACTCTACTTGGTCCACAGAGAGACCAGCCTTTCAGTCTGGCCACTTTCTGACCAGGTCTCTAGGGCTACTTGAGATTTCTCTGTAGCCCCATCCTACTGGCTTGGAGAGACAATAGAACTCGACACTTTTCGCAAGCTCCTGGGCTGATTTTTTGACACAGGCAAGTGTGTGAACCACTAGCTTACGTGCTCATGCTCTGAACACAGTGGTTATTGTGTCTGCAGTTGTGAAGCTGCATCCCTGGGCACTCACCCCACCACGAACCTCCTCAGGTCTACATTCCCACCTGGAGCCACACTTACTAGAATTAAACTAATCTGGGCTTGAACTTCCATGTTTACGCCTGTCCCCACCACAGGGGCCACCATGTCCCATCAGAGCTTGCCTTTGTCCTCCCTCCTCTTAGCCTCCTCAGCAGCCAGTGAGGCACTGATGGATTCACTCGCTTTGCAAGCATCTTCTGAGCACCTACTACTTGTGGTGCTGTGCCAGGCACCAGGGTACCACAGCAAATGAGACAGATGCATTTGAGGCCCTCGGGACTCTTGCGTTCTAATGAAGGAGATGATGAAGTAAGTAACACATATTAATAAGATGATGGTAAATAGTCATAAAATCTCTGAAAGGGATGAAAGCAGGGTGCTGAAGTAGAAGACAGAAGAATGGGGTGGAAGCATGGTGAATAGGGTGGTCAGACAAAGCCAGGGAAAGGGGTTTAGAATTGACTCTTTGTGGCACTGTGGGATATTCATATGCCCCCAAAGTGCCAGCACTGGCTGCCAAAGGCTTCCTCTCCAAACACTCCCTGATTCTGGAATGATTAGTACCCCCGGCCCTGTGAGACTAGAATTAAAGGGCCTCGGTTTGCACTTGAGCTTTAAAGTTCAGGTCAAGGTTATCGCAACTTCGGGATGAACAGGGGAGCAAGAATGGAGTCTAGTGAAGGATGATGCTGTCTGGAGCGCGTCCCCTGACGACAGGCTTTGTGTCACTCGCAGCTGTTTTGTTGCTGTGGCTGCAATTAACATGATGCTGACGGCCTGCTGTAGGGAACCAAATTGGTCCCAAATTACATACAATTGTAAGAAGTGTTTTCCCTTTCTCCCCTACGTGCACAATCACAACACACAGCGTTAATGAAATAATTGTCGTGTGCCCACGTTCAGGGAAGGCGCTCGTGAAAACAGCCACGATGGAGAGTAACATTCTCCTGCTTAAAGCAAGGGTGCTGATTACCAGAAGGCTGTATAGCTGGGGGTCAGGAATAAAGACTGTTCCCTTTCAGAGGCCGGGTTCGTGTCAGTTGTTCAGTTAGAAGCAAACTGAAGGTAGGGCATGCTGAGGAGTGGGGTGATGACTTTGTTCTGGAAGGTTCTAGAAGGCATTTTCTTCTATACATTGGAGAAAGGCTTAGAAATTAAAGGCATATTTGGAAGCATACAGGAATTTCTCCCTCAGCTATCTTAATGGTGTTCCCCCTTAAAACTCTTACGGGGAGCTTGTGTTCACATGCCATTTGCTTTTAGATCCTAACGATGACGATAATAGCAAATGAAGTCAACATTTCGAGAGCAGTCTGACTCCAAATCCAGAGCTCTTACTCGCTCGATCCAAGATATCTCTCCAACTTAAGGTGATAAAAATATTTCATATTTATAGAGCACGTACTACGCACCAGACACTGAGCTAAGTACTTTGTATGTATCAACACATTTATTCCCCATGACGACCCCATGAGGTACAGTAGGGAAACTGAACACAGAGAGGTTAAGTGATTTGCTTAAAGTTGCACAGCTTGCGAGTGACAGAACTGGGATTCAAAACCAGGCATTCAGCTCTAGAACACAAACACAACTGGGCAGCAACTGTAGCTTCGGCAAGCATTCATTTCACAAACGCTTTGTGGAAGCGCTGCACATACACTGTGAATCAAGTTGCTAATCATTTCTCTACCTTTGCTTTTGTGGCAAGCAGCCCACGGCCAAATACATATCTCTCCTAGAGCTGGACCCCAGGCCCTTGGGGAGCATATTTTGGTAAAAAATGTTGTGCATGAACCTTGTCCCTGTTTACAACCTGTCTTTCTTACACTTATTTTCCAACAATCTGATTTCCCCACTTAAAAAAAACAAGATATTTTACTTTTTAGAGTTTCCTCAATCCTGGAAGGAGGCAGGATGTAAAAGAAACACACCGATAACATAACTATTATAGATGTTCCTAAGTGTCCCTCACACTTCTCTTTGCCTTCTATATTAAACATTTTGATCTCTTAGCACCCTCTAGAAGCTGGACCTTTGAATTTCTAAATTCTAACCAGCACCAGAAGAAACACAATTAAATCAGAACAAAGCAGCTGGATCACCATTTCTGTAGTTTTTAATGGATTACCTACTTATTTTCATGTCTGGAGTGGGAGATGAAAGACAGGAAATAAGGGAGCCATATGTGCCAGGTGTGGGTATCCCACGTAGGACTTCAGCGCTAGTGACATCTGGGGCTGGATAATTCTGTTTTGAGGACCTGTCCTATGTATTGTAGGAGAGTTAGCAACATCCCTGGCTTCTTCCCACTAGATGCCAGCTGATTCCCCCCTTGAGTTATAACAAAAAACATCTCCAAACATTTACCAAATGTCCCTGGGGGGTAAAACCGTCCCCAGTTGAGAACCATCAATTTAGTTCCAACACTGTGGCTTCATCGCTCCGATACGCTGTTCCTTCTTGCTATATTACGCTCCCTTCCTCTTCCTTATCTGACGCATTCTGCCTCACCTCTCCAGCCTTGCTGCTGTTCCCCCAAGGAAAGCTGCTCGTGCAGGCAGAGGCATCACTCCCCCCACGTCCCCCCACCCCTCCCGCTCCCTTCACCAGCCCCATCACCACCACCGCCATCCAGTCAGCCAAGCGCTTTACGCTAAACTCTCCCAGGAAACCTCGGAGGCAGCATCCTGCCAGTGTGTGTCGCTGAGAAAAATGAAGCACAGAGAATAACAGGGAGCAAATTGTAGAGTCAGGATCCAACTCCAGATCTGATGGTCCCAACCGTGTGACTTAACATTCTGATCACATGTGGTCTCGCAGTTGTTTTTGTAAAGGGCTGTGTCCCACCTACATCCTGGGCTCTTCTGGGAAGCATCACTCTGCACCTGTAGCAGTGCTCAGCCAAAGAGGTGCTGACAGAAACACACCAGCAAGAGCTACCGCCTGGGCATCTGGAATCCACCCAAGTGCAGCCCCCTTGTCTCCCTGCAATGCTACAAACATGGCCTGGCTTTGATTCCTTGTAACGCACACCTTCTCTCTTTCCAGTGGTGGCAGGTTGAGAAGGTGAACCCCATCAAGCTATACGAAGAGAACAAAGTCATTGCTGGGTTTTCCCTTCTAAACCTGCTCTTCAAACAGGGCCGTGCTGGCCTCATTCGAGGAGTGGTGGACAAACTCATTGGGCTCTACAACCAGAAAAAAGTCAAGCCCGTGGTGGACTCCCTGTGGGCCCTGGAGGAGGTAAGGATGATGTTTCCCCAGCAAATAATCTCTGTCTTTTTAGTCAGCTTTGGGCAGCCAGATCCGCTCTTTTATTAAGTGATTTTTCTCCAGGTTTGTTTGCTTTAAATGAGGGTCCTAAAAGTCATTGTCCTGTAGTATAGAGTGCTTTGGATGTAAGAAATATTTTACGTTTCGTAGTGGTTCTCAAACCACGTGTGTCAACATGCCATTCATGCCATGAACCCTTCCCGGGTAGGTCACCAAATCTTGATGGGTGTGTACGATTCACCTTGGTTACAAGAGAGCGTGTACATTGTGCAGCGTCAGTTATATCCTCACCATGTGAGTGTGTGAGATCAAGGCCAGGGCGGACAATGGTTCAGAGCTGAAATGATTTGTGTGCCAAGCCCCGATGCTTGGAGCCCCTTCCAGACCTTGTTAGCTGCCACCCTGGGCACTGTAATTATGAATGAATTGTTGGATCTAGTGTTTGACTGAGTCTTTTTATTAACTGATCTGCAAAAAGTTCTAGTATTTGAAAGCATTCCTTGATCACACAAAAAAATTAAGAGCCCCTTGTGTCACCTTTAAGGATACTGAATTGTGAACTGACCATACTGGTTCAGGGGAGATGTGCTAGGAAGAGGCAGCATCTAGAAAATTCTTCAGGACAAGGGAAGTTTTGGACATTTGGGAAGCCAGTCACGGTAGCTGCCCGTGAGGAGAAAATGAAGAAATGTGGTCTAGGTTTCAAGAGGCATTCCACTAAGAAATCTTGTAGGTCAGGATGTCATGACCTTGGCTTCAGGGAGCCATGAAGCCCCTGAGAAAGATGTGGGAGTGTGTTTTTTGCTCGTTTGGCTGGTTTTTGCATTTTGCATGGGTGAGTGTCTTACAGTACAAGTACATTTTTGTACTCTGGGGCATCACGGACACCTTTGAAAAACTTAACAAAAATAACATTCCATGGAACAGATAGTAGCTGTCATCCTGGCAAGAAAGCTGGTGTTATTTGCTTAATGGACTAGGTTGGGCAAAATCTAATGGCTTTCCTAAGCACAGAAATCCCCCCCCCGCAAAAAGGCTTTGTGGGAGTCACCATGTAATCAGAGGGGCCTGGTCCTGGATCCATGGATCAGGCCTATATATGCCTCTCTGATACTCAATATCATGAATGATACTTTAAAAACCCGACCACCAAAACCCCTTGTTTCTCATGGTAAAAGAAATACATGCTTATTATAGGAAATTCCTAAATCAGCCAAAAACATAAGGAGAAAATAAACTGCAAGTCCACATTCCAGAGATAGATAACATTGTTAATATTTTGGTTTGCTTCCTTCCGGTCTTTTTTCTGCAGCACACGCTCACTGTAATTCAATGTGTTGCCAAATCAAACCAGATTATCATACGCTCCTTCTGTTGTGTAAGTTCTAAGATGGTTAACCTATCGTTATACTTGGGTCAAATGTTTTAATTTAATGGATCAAATGTTTTAATTCAGTGGGTCAAACATCCATACGGTATTCACTATGGTATGTCAGTGGAATAGACAAGGGCCGAACTGCAGTGGCTGTGTCTCAGAGGTCAGGGAGGAGAGAAAATGTGAGCTACTTGAGACCAGGGCTAAGAGATTAACTTGACCATGGAGGAAAGAAGGGGACTTAAGCTCACTGCCCAAAAGGGACCCAATGAATCTGGTAGCATTTAAGTGAGGGTTGAAATCGAAGAGGGGTCTGGTTGGCCCAGTGGGTCCTTGGTTTAGTACTGGAAATCATTCCTTGGTTATAATGCAATTGAATCACCAAATATGGATTGAATATCTATTACATGTCCAACAATGTGCAGGTGTTGGGGGTACAGTGGCAAATAGATGGCCAAGATCCCTGAGTTTCAAGGAGCTCACTTTCAGAGGGGTGGGGAGGGGCAGAAAATACTCAAGTGAACTAAAAATAAGTAGGGTATTCTCCAATTGCATTAAGTTCTGGAAGGAGGCAAATTAGGGTATATGTTGGCGAGTAAGTGGAGGGGGGAGACAGTTTCCACAGAGCAATATTCTTCAACCTTTATTTCATTATTGCTCCCTAAGGAGCTTTTTTAGACTTTTTTTTTCTTAATCAACCACCTCTATGAAATTTTAGTACCGTAGATACACCAGCCATCTACCTACCTACCTATCATCCATCTGTTTATGTCCTGGATATGTATTTGTGCTTTACATACATTAAAAGAGTAAGATTTTAAAAAATCCTCCGAGAATCCATTTTTACCCCTTTGGGGGTGGCCTTGCTCCCACTGAGAATGCATGCTGTAGAGTGGCTTTCGATAAGGAAGGCTAGGTGTTGTTTGAACTGGGACATGAAATAGGAAAAAACTGGAAGAAGAGTATGCAAGGCAGAGAGACCCTCAAAAGCAAAGGGACAAGGAAAGATAGATGTTTAGCAGCATCTCTGGTCTCTACCCAGAAGATGCCTGCAGCACCTCCCACTGCCAGCTGTGACAACATAAAATGTTTCCAGACATTGTCAAATGTCCCCCAGGTGGGATGGGGACAGAGGCAGAATCTTCCCTAGTTGAAAACCACTGCTTTAAAAGAAGCCATATCGGTTAAGACAGTTACCAGGAAAACAAAGGAAGTATAGGTCACTAGTCATTCACAGAGGAGAGAGAGAAGGCTGCTGCCATGTTGGCCAACAAAAGCACCCACAGCCACTCATCAGTAACACCCACCAACTTTCTGATGGTTCTCTTCTGTAATGTTTACAGACATCTTTTTAGAGCTGCCGGTGGGCCAAGCTTAGCCGTTTATCAAGCCCACGCAGCTCCTCTGGGCTTGAAGAGAATAGAGCATGCTTATTACTTGCAAACCTCCAAAGGAGGACTATAATGATTTCCCCCCCTCCCCTTTGGTAAATGATTTCACAAAATTGCTTCTCAGGCCAGCTCTATAACTTCATCTATGGAATAGAAAGACCATAGGGATTAAAAGAAATTTCTCTTGGGCTCTCTGAGAATTCAGACTAGAAGATTTAATAATATCAGAGATGATTAGAGTTTCTTTTTAGCCATCTATCTTTGACTTTCTTGTAAATGTAATACAAAGAGTGAGTGATATGCTGCAGCCTCCAGATACTAAACGTGCAACTGGTTTGCTCCAGATACTAAATGTGCAATTGTACATAAAGTTGGAAAAACAGTTCAGAGGTGGGAAAGGGACAAAAAATACTTACATCTGTCAACCAAGCAGCAGACACATTACTGCGCACCTGCTATGTGCCTGTACTATGTTAGGATGTCAAGTCTACAGAAGGGATAGGTCACTTGTTCCCTGATCCTTGCGTTTACGACTTTGTTTCAGAGACAACACTAAGACCTAGAAACAATTAGAGAAGAACTTCGTTTTTCAATCATGGGGTGTTTGTTTCAAGTGTGACTGGATTTGAAAACAAGAGAGAATGATGTTAAGGAAGACTGAATGTTCAGGGATGGTTTTAAGAATGAGGTGGGTCTTGGTTGAGATTAGCAGGATATAAATTCTTAGGATGATGTTGCAGTTAAAAAAACAAGGTATTATCAGGAGGGACAGTGTGAACAAAATCAGAGAAGCAGGAGTGAGTATAAGGTACATGGGGTAGAGAGGTCTGGAAAAAAAGCAGAGGAACAGGAACAAAGGAAGAGAGGAGAAAAGGCTGGTTCAGTCAATAGAGTCAAATCTTGGGGGCCTTCACTGCCAGGCAGAGGAGTGTGAGTTGACATTCTGGGTGAGGGGATTGCTATTAGAGACTGTGGCCTAAGGAATATGACACCCTTTGATTTCCCAATTCCCAGAAGCCCATCCTAGTCCCAAGTATGTCGCTAGAAAGATACACACCTGAACTATCCAGTTGTGGCCTCTGATCAAAAGTGCCTTTACCTGTCTGCTGTTTAATAGTGCACAGAGGGCTCTGTTATGAGCTGAATTGTGTCCCCCCTCAAACTCATATGTTGAAGCCCTAACCCCCAATACCACAGAATCTGACTATATTTAGAGATAGGGCCTTGAAAGAAATAATTAAGTTAAAATGAGGCCTTTGGGCAGCCCTTATCCAATCTGATTGGTGTCCTTATAAGAAGAGAGATTAGGACAAAAAGAGGCACCAGGGATGTTTGCATAAAGACCATGTGAGGACACAGTGAAAAGAGGGCCATCTGCAAGCCCAGGAGACAGCCCCAGAATGACACCAACCTCACTGACACCTTGATCTTGGATGTCTAGCCTACAGGATTGTGAGAAAATAAATTTCTGTTATTTAAGCCTTCCAGTCTGTGGTATTTCATTATGGCAGCCCTAGCAAATCGACACAGGGCTGCAGAGAGATCCTGGCAATTTTGAAATATTCTATTAAAGATATTTTACAACATAATTTACATAGAAGTCTGTGGTTACACTCTCCAATTATGGTACCATTAGCCACATGTGGCTATTCAAATTTAATTAAGATTAAGTCAAATCAAAAATTCAGTTCCTTGGGTATACTAGCCACATTTCAAGTGGTCAGTAGCTGCATGTGGCTAGTGGCTGCCATATTGGGCCATGCAGAGATGGAAGAATGTTCCCATCCCTGCAGAAATTCTCCTAGAGCTGGTCTATGAGATGATGTCATCCTTCTGCTTGAAGGTAAATTTGTCTCCCCAGCAATCTGGCATGATTACCTTTAGTAAATTACGTTAATTGTGCCCTTCCTTGTACACTTCTCTTTGCCTTGGCTGTAGTGAAGTTCACTGACCAAATGCAGTCACTTATTTAAGTGCTCCAATCCCTCATTATGTGTCCCCCACATTTTTCCTTTCATGTTAATAGTTGTGGCTTAATTATAATGTGTCTTTCATTCTATGACATCACAAAACCTATACAGAGATGGGTCTGCCTAAAAGAATAAATTAAGGAAAAATAATGTGGTGCTGAGCTTGATAGGGACCCTTATCTGACACAGAGCAAGAGGCTGACTGGATAAAAGGCAGATTAATGTTGAACAGGG